TGTGGAGTATAAGGAATGGAGGTTTCTCTTATAATACTTTGAATCATCAAAAAAATCATTAAAATACTTTGATAAATATTCACTTATATTATTCATGTGCAACACCTTGATCTTGTACTCACATTATTTTTTCACAAGTGCCTTAATCTACTTGAATCTTGAAAAGAATTCATTCTTGGATTTGAGGATGAAAATCCACATCTTTCTTGAAAAATCATCAATGAATGTAACAAAGTATTTTGTTCTTCCAATTCATAGCATCTTCATTGATCTACAAACATCCAAATGCACAATTTCCAACAACTTACTAGCATATTTTATAAATCTATTTAAAAATGAGGTTTTTTCTTGTTTGTCTTAGATACAACCTTCATAGGCAAGTATCATGGTATTATAGCTAAATTTATCAAGATTCAAGCTACTTACCATGGATTAAAATTCCTTCGTAATCTTGATATTCAAATGATTAAAGTATTGATGCTAAATGCCAAATTTGTCTTGATCATATAAAAATTCAAAAAATATACTCCATTATAGTCGAAATTTTTAGAAGACAATGGTATGGTATGATACATTTTTTATTTTTATTTTTTTCTTGCCTTGTAATAATTTTGTACAAAATGACATAGTTTTTCATAAATGAAGCAATTTTTCACATTGTGACATTGATTATAATAGCTCTCTTTACCTTAAAAAGATAGCCAAATCTTCACTTTAAGGCTCTTTTTCTTATCTCTTGGTTTCTTCATAGACATGTCTTGCCATTACATAGTCTATTGTAAGTTTTTTTGTAACTTGATGGACTCCAATGCCACAATGAGATAGTTGTAGGATTTAAGAAGGCTCATAAGCAAGGTCATGATAATATTATTATCTTCTAAAGACTTATCAATAATTGTTAATTAGTTTGCAAGAGCTTTTACTTCATTGACATTACCCATAAAGTCTTCATATTCTTCCATCTTACAAGTATAAAATTTCCTCCTTATGAAGATGATGTTGGACAAGTTCTTGCTCTTATACATGTTGTAAAGAATCTTCTATGCTTCCGCTAATTGTTTGTAAGAGATAATATGAAAAAAATTGGTTTCATCCAAATTTGTGGAAATTATACCAAAAATCTTTTTTATATCTTTTAAAGTCTTTTTTTTTCTTCAACATCTACATGTATGCTTGGAAGTACTTCACTTTCATCTACAATATCCCAAAGATCCAAAGATGTTAACAAAAAGCTCCATTTTGACCTTCCAATGGTAGAAATTCTCTCTTTGAAACTTTTCAATCACTTTCAAATCTTCACCCTGACTAAAAGCTATGTCTAACAAGACCTCTATTAAAAAATATCATGAAAAAGAGTCTCTAAAAAACTCAAAATTATCAAATCAGTTTGTTACTAGCAAAATCTCATAATGCCCTTATGCGAACAATAAATTACTTTTTCACCCAAAACACTCTCAAATCAAGTTTTGAAGCTTCTAAAAAGTATATGTATTCAATAGAACCTTACTATTAAGATCTTTTATTCTTTTAAACCACCAATTTTATAATATACTCAAGATAAATAAAATTACTTCAACAATACAAAAAGATTTTGTTAAGGACTTTCTATAAAGTCTTAAACTCACAATCTCATAAGTTAAAAAACCACCAAACAATGTTAGAGATCTATAAGGTCAAAATCAGCATCTCCTCATACCATAGCACAAGTTTAGGTCTTATAAACCCTAATATCAGCAAACACCATAAGATTTATTCTATACAAGTACAACTACTAGATAATAACATCAACTTACTTGAATGGTACAACAAAATATATATGGGCCCATTACCTATTGAAGAAATACAACAAACAAGACACAAGTAAGTAGAAATTACAATTTTTGGACATAAGAAAAGTGTAGAATGAAATGCCTCTCACTACTAATATCTTTTACTTATAAGAAGAGTTTATAATTATTGTAGTTGAAATTTATCTATAATCATTTTTATTCATCCAAATAAACTTTAGATTTATCTTAACTTAGTCGCCATATTAAACTCTAGCCACCACATTAATATGTTAATTTCATTCTTTTACTATTTTTTGATCATTAGCAACTTATCTAAGATAATTATATCTTATTCTTATTTTAACAATACTTAAGTGTATTTGAATTAATATTTTCTATTATTTATTTTAGGCCAATTTTGAATGTAATTTGAATAATTAAGATAGAATTGAAGCTAAATACTAAATTAAATCTCTATAATATTTAATTAAACATATTTAATATACAATTAATACTTAAAAATCTAATTAATGTCCTTCTTAGATCATAATTTATAGATGAATAATTGTAATATCTTAGCAAGGTGTTTGTAGCAATCTATACTATAATCATGGAAATAAGTAATTTTTTCTTAGGAACTTATAAGACTTCTTATCAATTTAGAAATATAAACTTAAAGTTATTGATATTGTTTCTTTTATATATATATATATATATATATTTATATTTTTTATTATTATTTTATATTAAGTTTATCTTAATATCTTTACCTAATTTTTTTAAATTATCAATGTCACTACATTGTTTAAATTTTTTTTATTTCTTAAATTTATCTATTATATTTCTATTAATATAAATTATAATGGCTATATTATAATATTTATGTAAAATAATTTTTTAAAATGTATCATTATATATAAGTTATTTATTAAAATAATCAATTATCTAATGATCTACTATTAGTATCAAAAAAATTAATTGAATACATCTTATAGTTTTAAATCTTATAAGCAAAAAGAATATTTATACTTTATTTGTGGTATTTATTATAATTAAAAAACAAAAAACTATTATGAAAGAGTTTTAAGATTGCTTTGGTAATAATATAAGATTTATTATTATTAAAATTACCAATATATCTTAAATTTTTATAATATTTAATATATTTTTTAGAAATTTGATTATAACATTAAAATCATATTGCAACATTGTTTCATGTCTTATTAGATGGAGATATTTATAAATTTGAATTTGAGCATTAATAGATATAACATGTAATATGTATAAAATTAGATGCTTGTTAATTATATTCTTATAATATTCTTTTATAAAGGTGATCAAATTCATAGATTTGGTTGCTAGATATCACCCTTTAATCTTCCTAGAGGTATTTACTTGTTTGTAATTTGATTGTTATAGTATAAAGATTATATTAATACACAAGTTAGTACCATTATTCTATTATCTTATTTATTGGCTATCAATGGTCTTTTATTCCATTATATTATTTTATTTTCTATACCATTATTTAATGTGTTGGTTACATTGATAATAACAAATCCTAAGCTCTATGCCAATATATTATATTAGAAGTTAATTACATAAAATAATTTCTCTTAAGTTGCATAAATTATAAAATGTGTTAATATTACTATTACCAATTCTAAAAGAGAATAAATTATGTAGATTGGTCTGCAATAAAATTTCTTTGCATAATCTATTCATAAGAACTATTAATTGGAAGTAAGAATTTGAATCTACATATAGTGCAAAAAAATAGATTATAAATATGAATTTATTTATTTATTTTATTTAAAATTATATACTTATCAATAGCATTATTATTTTTCATGTCTACCATAAAATTAAATCCATCTTTTATGATAGTAATTGCTCTTTAATCTAGCCTTTGATACAAACTTTAAAGAAAATCTTTCAATCTTCTTTCACATCCCTTATAATAATGAAAAGTCAATTTTTTCTATGACTAATGTATTTTATTTTTATTTTTTGAAGAAAATGACAAGAATCTTACAATCATATATTTTTTAGACTATTACTCAATAAAAGAGTAAAAATTAAAAAGATTTTTAATGAAAATTTATAACAATTTTTATTTCTATGTATTTAGATTAGTAAATATTATATCTTAAATTTTAATATTTTTCTAAAACATTAATATATTAAATAATATATTTTTCTTTTAAAATTTTAAGCATATATTTTCAATTTTCAAATAAAATATACCAAACATGTTTAATTTTTTAATTTTTAATTTTTTTATAAAAAATAAAAACTAAGAATTTATTTTTCTATTTTTAAAAATTATATATTTTATTTATTCTGATTTTATAAAATATAGTATAACTTAGGATTTTAAATAATTAAATAAAAAATGTTTTATTTTACCTAGGTCTTGAAATAATTTTTTTATCAGCTCATTTGTTTTATATATATATATATATATATATATATTAACTTTAATTTGTCTAAGTATATATAGTTTCTTAAAAGTTGAAGAAAGAATTTTTATTACTCAAGAATATTTATCATGTGATATAATAAATATTGTGAGCATTTTGATTAAAGAATAAAATGATCCATATTGATACAATCCAATCTAAAAATACTCCAAAATCACAAAATATTAATAGCTAAAATACTACAAAGAAAAACACGCTATTATATTAACAGAGCCTTTAATAATGAAGAATGGAATCAAATTCGCTATAAATAAAATCCGAATAATCATTTAAAGGCAAAGAAAGGCCATCTCAACATAATGACGAAGTGCATAAGTCATTACTCTTATCTTAAATGAGCATCTTTCCAATTTATTGTAGTAGCTCATAAAGCATCTCACTTGTTCCTATTATCTACTTTAGAATCCCCAAAAGACCACCACTTTCTAAGTAAAAATAGATCAGAAAACGCATCCTTCCAATCCATCCCACAAAACCAGAAAACAACATGGACAACAAACAAAAAAATCGAAAAAGTAAAAGATGACAAAAAGGCAAAGCTTGAGGAGAAAGGTCGAAGAAGGAGGCGGGGATTGGCAAGCAACGGACCGAGAACACGGAAAACCGGAAAACCGGGAACGGGCGGCGAAGGCGGCACGGGTGCCAAAATGGGGGCCAGGTGACAATGTTCTTCCGCTCGAGTCCCCCCGAAACGAAGCATGAATCGCCGCAGCAGCAGCAGCACCGCAGATTTGGAGTCTGACGAACTGGGATCCGACGCTAGTGTCAGGCGGAGACGACATCGATTGGAGCTGCTACGACTACTACTACTGCTCGGCTAGTCCATCAGTAAAGCCATCCGGACAGCCGCAAATAGCAAGCACGCCCTACGATCCTCCAGGGGAACCTGTTTTGGTCCGCATGCCCTCCTCCGCGCGGCACTAGCGTCGCTCTCTCTTTCTCTTTCTCCTTTTCTGTCGTCACCATCTCGCTGCGCTCTGCGGTAACACTTCTTTCATGACCATCCCGTCGTGAGAAATACGCTAGGCGACATAGAGGTCCACTGTTGTGTCTCTCGAGGGGTAGATGTGGCAGACCTATGATGTTGCGGTTCTGACAGGTTGACGACGCTGGGAGGGGGAGGGGGAGGGGGACTGGAGGCGTTTCAGTCTTCGGGGGAATTGCTGGTTGGTTGCTGAGGGGTACTGTCGGATTTTCGCGTTTGTAGCATCGACGTTGGAGTTGAAACTTTGAGTTCAAGTTTTGGCGCGTTTGGCCGAGATGCAGGTGAGATATATGTTTTGCGGTGGGTTTGTAGATGAGACGAAGATTCGGTGTGAGTGGGCAAGGGATTGAGACGTTGTGGGACTGGAGAGAGAATGCATGAGGGATCAGTGAGGGTGCATGGATTTGCGTTGTGTGGTTGGGTTGGTTGGAGTGGGAAGGAGAAGCTCATTTGTGGTTTATCTGATCATGGACGTCTTTTTGCATTGATAAGTTTTTTGAGGAATTCTTGCGTTTCTTTTGAAGTTGATGGAAGGAAAGATTAGGAAGTTAGTGGATTGGACGTCCTTGTGGTTTCTCCAGAGGTGTTTTACATGCTTTCGAAGTGAACCATGAGTGAACACTTTTTTGTCGGTCAATCGTCGCAGTCGGAGATGCTTTGATTCTACTGCGTAGAATCATGGCTACAGTCTGATTGCAAGCTAGAGTGTTGTCGTGGTTTCCGCAATGGGGAGCTCGAGGACGGGGCTTTGCATTTCTGTTTAGTCGTCTATGTTGACGAGAATCCCACACAGGACAGAAACTGAATTGCGGGAACTATATATATGTATACTGTTCAACTTAGGGCTTAGCTTAGATAAGGAAACGCTGCACGAAAGACATTCATGCGTGCCACCTTGTACCAAAATGCTACAGAGAACAGTACCTTTTCGTGCTATCGACTGCAAGTGCAGTCATTTTGTCCAGATAATCGAAAAGTAGGTGGGTGGTCAGATTCGTTACCGCGACGTTAACGTATTATGGATGCACTCCGTGCATCGATTTTTGAAAACGCTGGACAATAACTACTTTGACCAAAAATCACACGCTCTGGCTCCAGACATTCCGGTAAAGTAATAGTCTATTGCGCTGCGTCTGTATTAGTGAGCACTTCACCTAAACTACGTTAGGGTGCGCAGAGCTGACGAAAGGCCTAGTAACTGGCAAGCCATAATCTAGAGTCATACAGATTGCCCTTTCAATGTTCGTACTGAGGCCCGACGTCCGGAGATAACTTTTGTGATTTCCTAAGTTGATACATCCTCTCGTATTTCGCAATGAAGTTCGCAGCTCACTGTTGGGCAATGTTGGTAAGTTTTACCTATCTTATGCGTTGACTATTCGAGGTTGAATCGGCAGGTAAATTAGCTTTAGCACACCTCGGGAAGTCCCTAAATCTAGTGGGTGTAGTGAGGCACTCTAGCACCCGTACCCTTCAAGGTGTTTCTTTCTCCGTAAAAGCAATTGTTGTATCAACTTCTTCAGGGTGTGGGGAAAGGATGGTTGGATTTCTCTTGCTGGTGTTCTCCACTGCATCATAGGTCGGCCACCAGTTTCATTTCCATCCTGGGAGCCTTGTATTCGCATTGCTTTTGTTACCTACGAATTGAATTTTGTCCAATTAGCTTCCAAGCAATTGTATGAAAATCTCTGACGTGGTTGTGATTTGCTCAGGGTCGAGGCGATGTACGCCGACTTGGGCCACTTTTGTCGAAGACCTATAAAGGTCAAACTTGAACTACCACAACTTTCCTGCCAGACGTGGTATTATAAAGTGTTGCATGCGATTCCTTGTGGCTGTAAGATTCTGCATGAATGACGATGCAGGCTGCCTTCATTTTTCTCGTCTACCGTAGTCTACTTCTGGGATATATGGGACATGCTCCGCATCTGTCGAAGAACCTCGACGATCTTGTTTCCACGTTTTTTCGCTCAGTCCCAAGGAAGGTCGACAGCCGTGTGCCAAAAATATCCAATTCCAAGTCAGGTCTTTCAGTTTTCTGAATGGCGAATGAATTTCTGGATCGAAGTCTTAAGTCTTGAGATCTGATTTGCGTCAATATTGATTGCAGACACTTGAAATTAAAAGCCTTTAAAGAGTAGACTCCACGACTGAATATCGATTATGCCCTTATGTTTCTTCAGTTCAACTGAAGACCTACTTCTACACTGACTGCCATGTAGGGCTTGTGGCGTACGAGGACCGCTTAATAAATTACACCACATATCTCCAAATCACCTAGCCGTCCGCTACGTAAGGTAATCAGCTCTAATATGGAAAGCTTGCAATAATGTGAAATCTTGATCTCATGTGCAGCATGATTCACATAATTTTTTCTTTACTAGATTCCTGGGAGTACTTTACACTGCTTTCACGTTGAACGGAACTAATTTGGTTACAAGCACAGTTCTGAGCTCCTGAGTTTTTCTGTTTCAGTGGTCCATCTCTTAAGCAATGAGCCTGTCAGGCTATTAAAGTAGTGAACAATGCAAAGGAGGCATGATGAAGAAGATGAAATACAAGAGGCAAAGATTTCTAAAGTACCCAAAGAGGGGAGACATCACCAACACAGGTCCTCTAGTGCTCAGAGGCACAGGCGGAATGAGTTGCCAGCAGATGCCGATTCCTTCACCAGGCGTTTAGGCCGGCTGAGAATATCCAGTATCCGGGAGCATTCTTTAGAGAGGGCCAATTCTTCCTCGAATACACCAAGAAATATTGATACTCCAAGAAGTACATCAGCTAATGAGACATCTAGACCTCGTAAGTAGTAATGTCATGAGCCTAGAAATTAGTGAATTGTATATACCCACATACAAGCTCATCTGGTGGAGGTATCTAACTAGCCCTCGAACTGTTATTTGTCTTGAACAGCAAGAAGCAAGGAAGTTGACAGGGCAGATAAGAACCTCTGCGGATGGTCATGTAGAAATGATGGACCTTCAGGGACTTCTCGCAATGATAATCAGAAGACATCTCGTTCAACAAGTGGGCAGCCACTAACCAGGTTCCAGAATCCTCAGGAGTGCGGAGGATGGGGCTCGCTGGCTCGCAAAATTTTCAGGTTTGTTTTCTTTGTCGTTCCTGTGTTGCTGGTTCTTGATTGTGTTCGTGAGGTTGTCGTGCAAGAGGGAGGAAAGGACGCTGTATTACGTTCCAACCATGACGCATTTGCTAGAATTGACATGTTCTTGACGGGGTTCTCAACGATTTCCACATTAATTCTTGAATATCAATAGAACTCTTATCTCTGTACTCTCAGGTGTGACAATAATCAAACTACCTTTTATCCTGAATTGATGAACGAGTTGGTAAATCTCCGGGAGCAACATGACCATGAAATGATGCAAGTGCGATCAGATATACAGAGGGTCTTTCAAGAGATCCAAAATCTGGTCCGTTGTAGAGATGATGTATCCGCTTCAAGCTCGTCGTGTCAGTCTTCTTCCGAGAGCGTGCATAGCAGGGTGCAAAGGGCTCCTGTACCCGGACTGGGAAAGAGACATTCAGCCATGAACCATGCTTCATACATGCGCGACAATGATCATGAACATCATAATAGAAGAGCACAGTCTGCTCCTAGAACTCGAGTGAATTGGGACAGATACTCAACTGAAGAGTACAGCATCCCTTCTCATGTGCCACATGCTGCCATTGCGTTTTATCCCACCGTAGCGCTTTTACGAGAAGTAGTCCATTTGGAAAGATCCTGTCTTGAAACATTTGTTACAGCTCTCATAAGACATGAAGAGGATCGATTGCAGATGGATAATGAGTCCGACCTGATCGGCAATTCACTGAATGCCTTGGTTTATCGTCTTTACCCTGGCATTCGTTTTTTCAAATTCCGTCATTTCAAATATGGGGTCCAAGCTTGGCTGAGCAATTTGGCGATGAAGGGCTACCACAGAGCAACCATGACAGGAGGTACTGTCTCAGACATTATGATTTGGAATGTGGAATATTCGGAGGCACTCCCGAGCAATGTACACCTTTTTCTTTCACGAATACGCTCAACAGTGACAAAGATTCTCAATAAATGAAGCGGCCTATGTATGACACGCGTCTTGGAATTTTGTGGATTCGGGTTTCATATTCTTACCTTGTACCGGTGCTCGTTTGCAATGTAGACAGCCGGGAGGATATACGTCTGAGGCGGGATGCTGCGTGGCAAGAGTTCCGAAACCTGTCGGCTGTAAGCCCCACTTACGCCACGAACGAAGAACACCCATACTACATTAAGGATTTTCTCTCGTTTTGTCAGCGGATGATGGATTCCATAGTAAAAAACACGAGATCTAAGGTGTGGCCTGACGATCTAGACGATTACTTCCTGGAGGCTATGAAGCATGTGTGGCGGATGCGCAAACTTGCGCTTGCCTTTGAGCCCACTGCCTCCACAATCACGGCGAAGCTCACAGCACCATTCGACGCTAATTTCATGGATGCTTTGGAGGCTCCAGATTTGTTCCAAGGTGGTAACCTGTCACCGTTTGCCCCTCAAGTAGCGCTGTTAGTGAATCCAGGATTTATTGTTCAGGAGCGGGTGGTCAAGTGTCAGGTGTATTTAACCCTAGATGAGAGCTCTGATCTTTGATGGCGTAATTTAGGCGTTGACCCACCGACTTATACCGACATTAAAACCCCATTCTGGCCCTTCAATTTTGAGAATCACGTCGTTGATATTTGTATCATGGTGCCTTCACAAAACTTGTTTCGGGGCTCTACACCCAATTTAAAAAAAATTAACCGAATCCTTCAATTCTGGAGGAACGCAATCGCCATGGCTAATTGGTTTTCCTGTCATTGAGGCACACGCTGAATTCAAGTTGAGTCGCTCCGAACTATCCCTTTAAACAGGTATGTTGCGTTCAGTAAAGCTGGGTGAAGGCAAAGATAATCTTAATTTCTACTATAGTGTATTAAAAAAAAATGTTATTTTTAGCTTGAACTATCTTATCTTGATATACCAAAGTTATCTGTGCAATAATCACTCAAGGTAAGTATAAAACTCAAGTTGCAATTCCATTAATAATGAACCTGTGTATTAGGAGTTTGTTTTGATCTTTATTAAAATTAATCAATTTACAATTGATTACTTAATTAGAAACAATTTTATGGTTACTAAACAAATAGCTTATTAATAACACCTCTGAAATTTGAGTTGATTAGTTTTTTTTTCCACTTAACTTTTTGTTCAAAAAATTATTTACACATTTTTTTACATAAATCAAAATATCTTTATTACGAAATCAATTATATTTAAGTGAAAAATAAATAATCTATGAGACTTACATATAATCACAACTCATATTGAGTGCAATAAGTTTTGTAAATTTTTAAGTATTTAGGAGAAAATCTAAAGCTTTATTATATATCTTATAAAAATAGTTGAGTAGTATAATATGTCTCTATCTAAAAATAAAATCTTACCACTTTTGTATAAAAACATCATATTGCCACATGTAATGTTTTGAGTAAAAAATTAATTAAAAAAAAGAAGATTAATCATGTTGAGATAGCCTTTACTTATTATATTTTAAAAGCATTTAAATAATTCTATTATCATCCAATCTATAGAAAAATTTCTTAGAAGTTTCATAGATGTGGATTTGACTTTATCCATGTTTTTAGGTAATTGGTAGGTTAAAAACTTGGCTACTTATTGCATATGTTAGCCACTTGTGGTACAATTTGACTATGTGGCATATATATAAAAACTTATCTTACAAACTTGTCTAGACATGTATCTCACAAGTTGGACAAGTGTTGAAGGTCCTGTAGAATGTTGCTACATAGCTCCTAATTGGATAGTATATAGAAAGATATGAATGAAGCCTTCTTCACTCTCATCAACATTTTAATTGTTCTTAGTCTTGTTTTAATAGTCTTTAGTCTTCTTGTCTTTCAAAATAGCCATTGTAGTTTTAATACTGTACTATCTTTGAGTCAATATCTACTCTTTTCTAGTGACAAAAGTATTGACTCTTTGGTTGTTTGTAATTTATGTACTTAACACTAACAATAGAATTCTTTGTTCAATTAAGGATTAGATCTATAATAAAATAGATTTATAAAATACATGTATTTTAATATGTAATAAAAAAAATAGACTAATATAAGATTACTTTCCAAACTAGATGTGATAATTTGAATATTATATTATGCTTGTTGAACATCCAAATTCTCAAATACTTTTTAATATTTGATGAATAATATATTTTGTAAAATTTTAAAAAACTTTATTGTATGTAATTTGGATGATAATTTTTTATTTTAATAATGAAAAAAATAAAAATATATATTTTCTTCATATTACAAAAAAACTTAGAAATATAGAATTATATTTTAAGATATATATATATATATATATATATATATATATATATATATTACATAATTAAAGTAAAAATTTAAGAACATATCATCTAAAATAATGGTTTGCAAATGAATTCTAAAGAAAGGTAGACTACTATGGATTCAATACTTTCAAGAGCTATAAAAAATATCTGATTTTTTTTAGAATTTTTAAAATATTATCAAATATTATTATATGATTTATTTTAAGTTATTATTTTATTTTCACAATAAAATTTCAAAGATAAATTAAAATAATTCAAAGTTTAAAAATAATTTTTACTTTAATTATTATATTACATCATTTAGATTTTTTTAAACCAATTTTTACAAAAAAAAAAATGTGTTGGATTTTGCATTAGATGCAATTTTATTTAAAAATAATATAGAAATAGATATATATATATATATATATATATATATATATATATATATATATAAGAGAATTTATCCTATTATATTTCATTCAAAAAAATACTTAGCAAAAAATATTAGTATTTTTATTTATAATAAAGTTCTTGTTATTTTGGATTTATTTTAAAAATAAAATCACTACCTAGAATATTCTTTTATCTAATCATAATTCATACCAATCATAAGAATTTTAATTCTTTTATGCCAACTAATTTATTAAATATTCTCTAAGGTTTTTGAAAAATATCTTTATTATTATTTATATTTAATATTATATATTTTTTAAAAAAAATATTTTATATATTTATATCAAATGTCTTATTTAAAAATTCATATCTTGCATGAAAAGAAGTACATGTTGCACATAATTAGCAACAAATTAATCTTATGAAACTATAACAACTATATTTTTGAGAACTAAGTCAATAATTCTAATAAACATTTTTTTTTGATGAATTTTGTTCAAGTACATTAATATACCTTTTATTCTTAATGCTAAAATAAAGATTTTAATGACTCTAAATAATATGATTTTAAGAAAAAACTTTTGTATTGTGAAAAATATTTGTATATACCTAAAGATCAAGCATAATTTTATATGCTTTAAGCACTACATGACTTTCTAATAGTATGACTTTTAAATCCAATAAAACTTTATAATTTAGTTTAAGAGCTTTTTGATAGTGTCAAATATGGAAAGAGGTAAAAGCATTTGTTTAATCTTGCAAAACTTGTTCTCACACAAAGATTCTATAACATCAATTTTATAGACCTCTTTAACTTCTACATATTTCTAATGTTGTTTTAATAAACTTTTATAGATCTTCTAATCTTAAACTTTTAAAACTCCATTTTGTGATACTAAATCATTTAATCAAAATCGCATATTTTGTACTTTATAAAAAAAATATTTTTAATGTTGAAAGAGCTAAATTAACTTTAGATAATATTTATCAATATTATAAAATTCTATTTAATATTATATCTCATTAAAGATTATAATTTTTATTGAGAAATTAAAAGATAATCTTCAACATATTAAAATTTAATATTAAATTATCTTTATATTTTTTATTCTCAAACTTTTAGATAAATAAAATATATAAATTAAGTATTAAAAAAATATTTTAGTATTCCACCAATTATTTCAAGTCAATTGGACAACTCTCTTATTAGTAGTGGAATTTTTTTATAATTATATGATGAATTTTTATAATTAAAAAAAAACTCTATTTTTTGCTAGTTATAGTTATAGTCTATAATTTTGATACTTTTGGCTTTTTAAAAGATGAATTTTATCCATATTTATTATTAATTTTAAATTAAATAATAAGAAAAAATAATAATTATAAATTATTAGTTATATATGATACTATTAACTATTAGCCTTAGTAGTTACTTATATTATTGTGATTAGTAGTAAGTAGTTGTCTTGTATTAAAGAAAACTAACTAAGTTGTGCAATACTTGAATAGATTTGATAACTTCAATATGTCTTTTATTGCGCCGACCCTATTAGAATTCTATCCTTTAAAGCACAACATTTAGGAGATGCAATTGCTCTATTATCTAAATTATTTGAAAGGTCAAAAAAATTCTATATTATATTATTGTCTTTGAAATCTTAGTTATTAAATAATGGCATAGAAGTCTTTAATACTTTAATATAGATCTACATTTACTAAAGATATCAATGTCTAGTTGAAGGCATGGATGACATTCCAAGCCATACTAGACATTGAGCTCTTTGTGTAGTAGTTAGAATGATTTATATGTCAAAATGGTTTGTATGTTGAAGTTGAATTTTATAAATTTCATATTTCTTTCTTGATCCTAGTGATATCTGAATATTAGATCTTCTAAAAAATGAGTATTGTAGTTAAGAACTAAATTAAAATCCATTATTCAACAATAATTTATATTACCTTCAAAAATGAAGTGCTAAATTATTGCTTGAAATTTAGTGGCTAATAAAGCCTACTTCAAGTAAGACTTCTAAAAAGAAAATAAAAAATAAAAAAATAAAAAAATAAAAAAAATCTACACTCTCTATCATGGTAAGAAAACATCTATACTATCTTTTTAAGGTTGCCTATCCAAATTTTAAGCCATGTTGCATCAACCATAGCTAACTCATATCAAACGTGACCTTTGTTAAGAACAATTCCAAACGTGACCTTTGTTAAGAACAATTCCAAACGTGACCTTTGTTAAGAACAATTCCATTTTGGATGGGCTTGTGTGTTGGTTTTTTACTTTTGCTTCTAAACCTTAATGTATTATTGCCCTAATGTTAATGTTGATGTCAGATTTACTATTTGGTGTTGATGATTCTTGTCAACTATTGTTTATTCTTAGGCCCCCAAATATTGCAATATTCTTACTTAAGTACCAAAATTTGACATTGTTGTGAAAGAGTTGTAAATTATGGTTAGAATTTTCCCAACTTGGTAATCAATGGTCCCATTAGTGGAGGTGCACTTACCAATTTTGACTCAAGGATTACTTAGCACAAAATTTGTAACAAAAATCAATTCTTCGTTTTGGTTCTAGTCAGATTGGAAATGCCTCCAATCTGCTAGAATTCGTCGAGGCACCTTCTACTGTAGCATCGCACATAGTTGAGGGCGGGTCTATGAAGTATTTGACTACAATTCAGAGGATGGCTTTTGCGACTTCTAGATTTTCAAACACTTTGCTTCCGAAACTGGCAAAATCGGTTATCATTTATGTACGCTGCCGAGCTGCTTAAGGTGCACATGAAATCCAAAGCTTGGACTCGTGGGGCTTTGAGGTTTAGTCTGTCGCAAACTTAGCAAATAGTTGGCGACAAACATGTTCTCAATCTTAGGCATGGTGTGTCGGCCAGTTCACCGAAAGGGAATGTACCTCACTGTTTTGAAATAGGCAATAGCATACGATGTTGAGAGATTCTTAATGGTGGGATCAGGAGAAAGGAGATGGCTAGCAAGGTTTATATGTGAAATTTGAGTATATACAGCACCAGTTTAGTCAGGTCCC